GGGGGTCATCGGAGCATTCCGTGACGTGGGTACTAAACGTTGCGACTTTTCAGCTACTGGACCGCTCAATATCCATCCGAAGATCGTGTTTTGGGCGAGCAATGTTCCACTTACATTATGTTGCAGTCCTTCGGTAAGAATTTCCGGGATGATATCGCTGCCTATTACCACATCGATTTTAGATGGTGTCAAACAATGAGGGTCAGCCAATGTTAAATCCGCCAATTCTCCGAGATCGATACTTGATACTTTGGCTGTGGGCAAGAAGTGAGTGAGTTTTGGCAGTATTATTGCTTGTGCGTCTACTTTTAGGGCTAAATCTGATGAACAAAATGTTATTTCGCAGATCTCATTTGAGTTTCTTACCACCATTCCACCCATTCCGGATATTTGGTGTAAGACTTTCTTGTGGGTAGGCCAAGGAGCTTTTGTATACGGGATGATACAAAGGTTTTTTGGGAACCTTGGTCTATTAGGGCGCGAATTTTATGGAATTCGCCAGCAAAGTATATGGGGACTATTACTGTTGGTAGTAGGGTGGTTCCTTTGTCACTCGAAAAGTGAGTGGAAACCTTGTTTGTGTCCTGTGCGGGACTTGCGGCTGACGACGCCCTTGCGGCGGCTTTCGATGAAGAGGGCCGCTCGCTGTCCGTTCTGCTAAGGGTGTTGGCTTGTGGCCTGGGCTGCGTATGAAGTAAAGAGTGATGCCTCTTTTGGCAATAGACGCACGTGAAATTGCTCTGACACTCATTCTTGAGATGTGAAAAAGAAAGACAATTTTCGCAATAATTGTTTTCTCTCACGAATTTTAGGCGGTCTGATACTGAAAGATTTTTAAACCTGACGCAAGATTTCATCGCGTGGTTTTGATTACATAATCTACAAGAGACGGTTTTGTTGAGCTCCGCATGATATGCATGAGCTCTATTTTTATTGAGGGGGGTCGAGTTGTGATTCACCGTTCTTGGTGTAAAATTCGAAAATTGGGGTTTTGCCTTGCCTGGTCTACAGGTACTTAACCTTTCTACTACCTCGTATCTGCTGGTCAGAAATTTGTTCATATCTGCCCAAAGCGGTAGTTCCTTCCGGGAGCT